ATAAGAAAGTGAAAATCACGCCATGCCTTGTACGTGTTCTGAATAGTGAAGATATCGTTTTAACACCTCCCTTTTTTGGGCTTCCTGTCATTAATGATCGTCAGCTCATGAATAAATGAGTTGACATCACAAATGTAGAAGTTCCTGTACGCATTGGGTATATCTGCTATCGGCTTCATCGATTTTTAACTTTATGAAAGGGAAACATGACTTCTTTCCACGCACTGAACCTTTCAGTACAGACATCCGTATGACAGCTTTTCAGCTTTATCTTGATTTAGGAAGAATCCATGTATACATTTAAAGTTGAGCGCGTTTCACAGCGATGTAAACGTCTGTGTAGCAAGAAGCTGAAAAGTGCAAAATTTCGGCTTATCGTAAAGTGAAATCTGAGCTTTCAGTACGATGACCGTTTTTCGTGAATTTCCGCCGTTATATTTCAAAAAACTAACTTGGTTTCCTTCAGTTACTTACCTAGGCCTTCAAACTGGCAAAGCATAAGCAAAATTGATTTTTCGACCGTGGCAACATTTTCAGAGCTTTCTTTGATTTTTACTTACATTCACTCTTAAATGCCATTTTCAACAACAAAAACAGCAACAACAAGCCAATGATCTTTTGGCAGTTTCCTGCACTATGATCGAATAATAAAAATCGATAATTCGTGGCTGTTACATAACTGCAAAGAAACAGGATTACCTTTAACTCCCTCAAGCACTGAGAAGATAAAGGCCAGAATAAACACCTCTACTTTCGTTGAAAACATCAGGACTTTAAATTATGAGATAAATCAACCCTGTTGTAGGAATTGACTGCAGCCAGTCGAGTTGCAGTACCGTTATATGGCGATGAGAATACTGCGAGTATTGATGAGCAGGTATCAAATGATCTTTCCGTAACGAAAGAATAATTCAGTCATTTCAGTAGAATGCCCGGGAAATAGTTTTTCCAACTTGGCAAGATGAACAACACATATATGGAAAAAATATGTACCAAGTATTATTTTTAGCAGGTATCAAATTGTTTTTCCACTAGAAAATAGCTTAGAGTATCAAAGTATCAACAAAACTGCAAGATGAACAACACGTATGTGGAAGTGGTGTAGCGAGTGTTGAATAGCGAGTACCAAATGGTCTTTCCGCAAGGACATAGCCTGCCGCACCAGCAGTTGCAACATAAGCCCAGCAAAATAGGTCCTTTACCCCTTCTTGACAATTATCTACAAAACCGCTTCAGTTGTGCAATGGTCGTTCATTAAACACGGTTGGTAACGGAGCAACCAAAACCGAAAGCAACAACGGACTTTTGGATAAAGTTGTCCTCTTTGTATCCTCTGTCGTCGGTCGTAATTTTTCTTCAATTTGCTTCGATTGAACATGCATGTGTCGCTGGAAGCTTTGTGGCCGATATAGATTAACAAATAGTTCAATAACTTGGTTTACAACCCGCAAAGCGGATCGAGTGCACCGAGCGATCTGTCGAGATAACCGGACCAAGTGATCATCCGGCATGGAATTGAATATGTGTCAGCCGGATAGAATGGGTGATTATAGTGAAAAACAGCAAATAAATTAGGTGATCTAAAATTCATGCCTGGGACGTTACAGCACAAAATTCCTAAACCTGAATGCAGCAGTGGGATCTGCTAAACGGCAAAGTTATAGAACAGCGAAAACCCAATGGCTCTTTCAATGGCTGGTCTTTCCTCAAGGAAATTTGGATGTCCTTTAAGCTATTTGGCTAAGGGTCGGGAAAAGATATAATTCGTTGAAGTGTTGCCAAGTATCATGAATGTAGGAGGAATTAACACTTGAAGTGATTTGCGTTAGCCGGACTAAAAAGGTTAGAGACATAATTCGAAAATTCGTAGATGTAGAAGGATTATGCTACCAACTGGGCAACGTTATCTAAGCCATGATCTTGATAAACGAGTTCAATTGCTCAGAATGTTTAGCCTGCATGTACATGTACTTCATCGCATTTACTTCAGTTCTGTCAGAAACCAGAAATAAAACAATTTTACCAAATTAAAATAGAATAAAAGTAAACTTAGGCATGCTCCTTGTTTGCTTGAACCGTGAAGATGAAACACAACTGGATCTGTGCAATTGTTTTGGACTCTTGCATTTAATTATTTAATGGGATTTCTCTCAATCGATAACAATTTTTGCTTTTCTGAAGTTACCATGATTAAACTATCAAATATTATTCAAGCTTCCCGAGTAACCATGGGAAGAAGTTTTATTCTGGACGTCTCTTTTGGACGGTATATAAAATGCTTTTGATTGCGCCGATTGGCCTGCTTGAGCAATGCACTCGCGGCCATGCCTTTTTCGCTCGCATCTACTCATTTGCGAAGAGTTTTCTCAGGTACCGACAAAAGAAATTAAAATGTCCAGTGCGGCTACCATTCTTCATTTTGACTTAAAGGAATATAAGTTTTAACGTATAAGCTCCAGCAATGTCGAATATTCTATACAGTAAATGCAAAGTCTGCCGTCTTGTAATGCTGAGACTATCTACAAATTACGAAAGGTGCAAAGTACGAAAGGAAATCATCCGCATCATGATCGTAAAATATTTTGAACGTTTAAATTTGTCTGAAATTGAGACCGCTATACTCTACAAACAGTTCTCCCAATTCGTAATGAAAGGAAGCAAATAAGGGTATAAATTCTAAATTACAAAATCAGTTCCTATCACGACTCTTCGTCAGTAGTTTCTTGCATTGTAAAAATGGTACTGTTGATAGATCTACACGAGGTTAAAATATATGCAAGAGTGCGGAGTTACCTTTGACGCCTTCTAACACCAGGCAGCAAGAAATCAACAGAAGCACGCTTTTTTTCGTTGGAAATGCCATGACTTGAAAATCTGAAGTAAATACCCCTGTTGCAGAGATATACACTGGAACACAGCTAAATGAAATGCAGTTATATCAGTGGAGAAAGTACAAGAAATATCGAGTAACAAATGTCAAACAGTGTTTCCGCAAGGAAATAACGTTAT